TACACTTTCCTCAATTGCGATTGGATATTTCTACCATCCGATTCAACAACACATTGTACACTATCAAGAAACTCCACTACAGGGACGAGCGCAATCGAGAGACCGTGATTCGGAATTGAGATTTTGAGTTCAGCGAAGCCGTTGACTTCTCCGCCACTGTAGACCACCCTGTTGAGCTCCGCCCGAACCCGGTAATCGAGGGGATCCAGGTCAGGTGACACACTTGGATATTCCGTCTTCTTCAGGTACTCAACGTCTTCTTTAGGTATTCAGCCCCCTTCCATTCCAAGTAGGCGAGAGTTTTCCAACGCCCTTCGATTCCATGTGGTGGCACCAATCCTGTTCCAAGAAGGTACAGGCGACGACATGAAGGCAGGATATTCTCCTCGAGTTGGTCGATGTAACCGTCAGCGTTCACCTTCAGTCCGGGTCCACGAAGAAAATATCGGTTCATCCATTCCAGGTACGGCCGGTCCACACCATCAACCCGCGCCTTGGTGAATGGGGTGAAGATGATGTCCTGGACCGTAGCGACGTTGTCGGAGCTGCTCGATGTTGGAGGTCTTCCAGATCAAGAGTACTGGTCTCCAGGTAGCTATCCATGGGTGACTCCATACAAGAAGTTTCGCAGCTGTTGGAGGTGACGTGAATTCCATAGGCCTTCTCCAGTCCGGCTGCGATTGGAGATGGCTTCATATTTTGGTGTACATGAAGGTGATGGACGAGAGCCTGCTCCTGCTTATCGAGGAACATCTTGGGTATCTTCCGCCCTGGTACTCGTATCCACGTCTTCTCTCTGGGCTGCGTAAACTTTACTGATATGTGACTCGGCCAAAGTGTCTTTTTTGGCCCCCTCTACACTATGTTTTTTTTCTTTCGTTTTTGAATCAAAAAGTAAGGTAAAACATTTCTACAATAACAAAGAAGTTTCATTGTAACTATACTGGTCAGAAAAAAATCCATGCACGGTATAACATCAATATAAAAACTTCATAGATTCAAAGCGCTAGCGTGATTCACCTAACATAAAAACACCGGCGCGATGACTTCGTGATGATTCAACACACAAAAACCTGGGTCAGCACAGCCGAGTTGCGACGACAGCCACAGGGCGGTCACAAATGGTACCGCAAGCGTGGCGTTCGCAGCACGACCCATTGAACTGAACGTGGACCTGCTGCATTGTTCAAGTCTACGAGCTGGGAGACACTCCGTCAATTGCGCAGAGGGCCGCGACTCTCATGGCCTGTACTACACCGTAGAAACATATTGTCTACCTATCATGAGGAATTGTAGGGGGTGTGAAGCTCTTGGAGGCAGAGCCCGCAAGCCCTTTCAATCACCCAAGTTCTTCCGCTACTGTAAACTGCAACAAACCCTGTCAATTTTCGCGTCAAGAGTGGCGGTAGGCACAAGGTTGCTCAAATAGCTCCGTTAACAGTGATAGAAGTACAATCTTCGCTTACAAGCTCTCTCGCTGCATTCTCTGTTCTCTCGCTTGATATTCACCGCGACTCCTTATCTCTCGCTTGGGACTAATGGGGCCTTACTAGGGGTGTTTTCGACAACTTTCTCTCTTTCGTTCTTCTCGGGCAAGTCAGATAGCGCATACACTTTTGTTTCTAACTCCGCTTCCTGCAAACTTTGATTCTGCGAATTCTGCCTTTCAAGATAGTTTTTTATAGTGTTGCACAATTATTGCTGACAGAAGGGTGAGTCAGCCCATGTTACTGCTTCTTTACGCCTCTTTCAATTAATCTAATCAACCGCTGCAAAGCAGTAGCTTATCAACGGAAAAATATGCTTCTCGAAGATCTCCTGCTTCTTGATTTCTGAAATCTGGTCCCCAGCAAAATGTCGAGCAGCAGCAGTGTTTTATTCTCTTACTTCGGTGCAGAGGAGTTGCTATAAAGTGCAGAAATAAATAAAATTAGGGAGGGGCACGGCACACAAAATGATTCAGCTGTAGATATAAGCGGGACAAAAGTAAGCAATACACAATAAGAATCGGTAGGGAGTTCAACAACGAATAGTGCTAGAAAACTGATGGAAACTGATGTTCGTCATCTTGTAGTAAAATACCTCTATATCGGGTTGGCCATGAGTAACGGCATTTTTCTTCTTTCTGTGCTGTTTGATGCACAATTTCCTGCTCTATAAAGCAATAAGCATGTTTTCTCACTCATTTTTGGATTTCGTTATTTTTTAGTTCATTAAGGAAAGTCGGGTCGACACAAGTGAAAGTTTTTGACACCAACTTTTTGAACTTATTCTTGGCTGTCATAACGCAGAGGCAGCCCAAAACTT